ACGGCGCCTCGCTCGACCGCGCCATGCACCTGAGCCTCCAGCCGTCGCTGCCCTCGCACGCCGCGTCGGCGGTCGTCTCCGTCGACGGCAGCCCGCACGTCGCCGAGCCGGACCCGCGGCGCCAGGACCTGGCCGACTTCGCGACGGGCCACGTCTTCATGGACGCCTTCTCGCCGGAACGCGACGCCCACTCGCCCACGGCCACGTTCGAGGCGCGGGCTTGCGCATAAATTCTTGTATCATAGTAGTGGACAGACAATGACGGACCTCGTCCCCGCGCCATGCTCAAGGCTGGTGCTGTCGAGCTCTGCGACGGTTGGTCCGACTTTTAGGACGTCTGCGGCAGCGAATGGGCCCCAGACTACGCGTTGACGACTTCAACTCATAGGCCTACTCATCTTCAAAACCTGCAAAGTTCTGATCGCTCAAGGACCCCGGCCAAATTGCTTCGTCGCATCAGTCGTGCTTGACATTTTGCGCCCGAGTAGCCAAGCGCGTCGCCCCAAGACGCCTGCGTACCGCGTCTCCCAGCTCTTGCAAAACGCGCTCAAGTGTCTCCCGAGCACTCCCTGCATCGCCTCAACCAGTCGCGAACGACTTTGGCATCGCCTGCAAGTTAGTGGACTCCAGAACCATGACCTCGACATCTCGTGCAACGAACATGCAACCCTCGGCCTCCCAGCCGGTCGCCGTGCAGAGCTCTTCGTCGGCCCGGCGCCTCATCGGCCTCGCGCCCTCCCTGCCCAAGCCCTACGACTCTCCCGTGCCCGCGGCGCACGTGCCGCTCGTCGCGCCGCCGGACACCTGGCAAGTGAGCCCGCCCACGCGGCCGCGCGCGCCGCCGCCTCCGCCGCCGAGCCTCTCCATGCCCCCGGCGTACAACCGGCCGACCTACTCGAGCAGCAACTGCTACGCGCCCAAGTTCACGGCCGCGCGCCAGCCGCGGCCGCTCGACGCCCCCGGCAAGCCGCTGTCGCTCGGGTTGCAGCCGCAGCTCCCCGAGGCCTTTGACGAGCACGGCCTCGACTCGCCCGGAGGCATCCACGCGCTCAACGAGGACCTCGCGCGTGGCATGTACCACCCGTACCGCGCGACGCTCAACTCCGAGGACGCCTCGAGCAGCAGGCACAACGCCTACCACGTCGACTACGCCGTGCACCCGACGCTCAAACCCCGGCTCCCCCCGGTCCTCCCCTCGGCGACCGTCTCCATCGACGGCAGCCCGCACATCAGCCAGTTGGACTCGCGGCGAAAAGACCTGGCCAACTTCGCGACGGGCCACGTCTTCCTCGAGACCTTCTCCTCGCCCGAGACCGACGCGTACTCGCCGGCGACCATGTGAGCGCCGCTTTCGTGCCGCACCCCGACTCCGGCCGATAGGCCGGCGTCCGTGCTTTAAAACCTATCTGATGTTCAACGCTGTCCGTGNNCTTTAGGATTT